CCTGCCTCAGCCTCCTGAGTAGCTGGGACTACAGGCACACGCCACCAGGCCTGGCTAATTTTTTTGTATTTTTATTGGAGACAGGGTTTCACCATGTTGGTCAGGCAGGTCTTGAACTCCTGACCTTGTGATCTGCCCGCCTCAGCCTTTCAAAGTGCTGGGATTACAGGCGTGCGCCACCACGCCCGGTCACTGGACTCCTTTTTTAAAAAGTGGGATTCTTGTTTTAGAAGTGGGGATTCCAAATCTTGGGACCTCTGAGATAAATTGGCTAAATGTTAGAAAATGCTAGACTTCTTTTCTTCAATTATGTCTTTCAGAACTGTGCATTTTTCCATAAGTATTTTTTTGTTAAATCTGCTATGATTTATTTGTTTATCCAGATGTCAAACCCAAGGTGGAGGATCTGGACAAAGATTTGGTAAACCGCTACACTCAAAATGGAAGTCTGGATTTTTCTAACAATCTAACAGTTAATGAAATGGAAGACGATGAAGACGATGAAGAAATGTCTGATTCAAACAGTCCACCAATTCCCTATTCACAAAAACCTGCCCCAGAAGGATCTTGCACTACAGATGGTGGGTTTCAGTTTTGTTTTCTTTTTGCTATTTTCTCTCTAATATTGTCTGACATATTTCTAATTATTACATGCGGTGCTCAAGGCTGGAAACTAGTAATTATGGCATGGAGAGGAATGAGAAATGATTATGCTCTCATTCACATTATCTCCTGTGACTTCACAACAGATGTCTGTAAGAAAGACAAGTATTATCATCTCATCTTATAGATAAAGAGACTGAAATTCACAGTTGTTGACTTCCCTGAGATGATCTGTTTAGAATTGCCTTTGCAATTCTTGACCTGCCTTTGCAAAGCCAGGTCAAGGCTTTTCCAGTATTCCAAGTACTTTCTGCAAGAATGCTACTATTTTAGGACATTTTTTAGTGTTCCCTCTTCATACTTCTTTCTATTCCACCCCTGCCCTGCAGACAATCAGAGAGATATTAGATATTTCATATTTACTTTTTACATTTATTTTAAACACTCATCCAATACAGAGGATTAAAATATTTTATACATATTATAAATGTAAAAATTTAGAGGATTAAAATGTGTATATTTTGATAATCCCTTTTTATTTATTAGGGTCAACCTCCTCTTCCACCAAACCTTCACACTTTGTAAGAAAATCCTAGTATAAAGCATTTCCAGTATTTCATGGTTTTGGTGATATCATAACTTAAATTACACTCTCTTCCCTCCATTTAATAGTTCACTATGCTATTTTCTGATCATCCCGGCCTAATTAATTCGTGAATAATACTTTGTCCAGATTAACCAGAGTATTGTTCTTCTACCCAGAATGACTTGGACCTAGGATGATTTCAGTGCATGAACATTTTGGAGTGGGGGAAATGGAAGGAGAAGAAAAGGGATATAATTTCAGAACATTCCTCTTACAAAGCCTAAAGTGCAAATAATTAGAGAAAAACTAGAGCTTCAAATATGGAAAGCCAGAAAGCCCTGCTTGGGAGTTTTATTTTCTCTTGACTTTTTTTTTTTTTTTTGACAATGTGATAAATAGTAAAGGAGTCAAAATCCCCTACCTAGGAGATGAGGAAACCTGAGTAATTCTCCTGGGAGCTTCTACGTGCCCAATTCACTAAAGATGGCCTCTAGCGATTAGTACTACGGCCCTGCCTGTAGCACATTATTCCTTATGAATTTGTTTATGATTGCTCAAACTTAATATAATATATATGGATTTATTCATTATTGACATAATACAGGCTTTAAGCCTGTGAAGGTGTAGGAGGTGACTAGCATTATGTTTCTTCTTACTTGCTTTACATCCATCTTCATGCCTTTTATTTAATTGAGCTGTCAACTCGTTTATCAGGTAACAAACTGGAAGGTGAAATAGTACTTAAAACGTTGTTGGATTCCCACTGAGAATCTTGTTATGTGTGAGAGTTACATAGAGTAAAATCTTTAGAGGATAACTTTCAAATATCTAATTTTATACCAAAAAATGGGAGAGAGGTTTCCACTTTTCCTGTGCCCTAGGTATGTTTTTAGTTTGCCTTGTAGGGTATCTGGCACTGGTGTTATTTATAAGCAGGTATGGAGAGCTGTTTACTGCCCACCAAGGTATAATAAACTCAGTGATCTAGAGATAGCCAGTATTTCTTAAACTTTAGAACGTGAAAATATGAGAGTATATGGGAAGGGTAATATTATTTTAAAGATAAAGGAGGTGTAGTTTTTTTTTTAACTGTCTCATTCAAGTTCAAGATTTAGATTCCAAGACAATTCAAAAACACTAGTCCTACACTTAGATTCCTTTATCAGCTACTTTTGGTTCTTATGATTAATGTCCATTTTTTTCCCCTTTTAATTCACCTTGGGGGAAGGCATAGACAGCTTTTTTTTTTTTGGAGATGGAGTCTCACTCTGTGGCCCAGGGTGGAGTGCAGTGGCACGACCTCAGCTCACCGCAGCCTCCACCTCTCTGTTCAAGCAGTTCTCTGCCCCAGCCTCCCAAGTTGCTGGGATAACAGGCGCCCACCACCAGGCCCGGCTAATTTTTGTATTTTTAGTAGAGACGGGGTTTCACCATCTTGACCAGGCTGGTCTTGAGCTCGTGACCTCATGATCCACCCTCCTCGGCTTCCAAAGTGTTGTAATTACAGGCGTGAGCCACTGTGCCCGGCCAGTAGCTCTTTTTCTTTTTTGATGGAGTCTTGCTCTGTCACCCAGGCTGGAGTGCAGTGGTGTGATCTCGGCTCACTGCAAGCTCCACCTCCCAGGTTCACGCCATTCTCCTGCCTCAGCCTCCCGAGTAGCTGGGACTGCAGGCGTCCGCCACCATGCCTGGTTACTTTTTTATGTATTTTTAGTAGAGACAGGGTTTCACCGTGTTAGTCAGGATGGTCTTGATCTCCTGACCTTGTGATCCGCCTGCCTCGGCCTCCCAAAGCACTGGGATTACAGGCGTCAGCCACCGCGCCTGGCCAGTAGCTCTTTCAATTGGACTCATTTTAAGATAGTTCTAAGAGCCCCCTTACTCAAAGGGAGAACAGTTCTGAAATTTCTGAAATTTTCCTTACGAAAATGGCAATGAAATAGGGCAATATACTGCCTGGACTTATTTAAGCATACCACCTTCCCTTCATGGGAAATCCTCTATTTACTTAAGGCTCAAAGAAAGGTAAAGCTATTTTTAGAGGCAATTTAGATAAGCAAATACTTAACACCTGATGGGCTGCTGGGGTTTACCATTCAGATGTAAATTTTGGTTGCTAATTTCTTATGTAAATTATTGGAATAGTGTAGGTTCCTACCCTGCTGGGAGGCAGTTGATTGTCCAGAGTTAAGGACAACCAAATTTTAGGCCTCCAAATACTGCTTTGATTACTTTAGCTTGTGTTTATAGCTGTTTCTGTAAACTTTTCCCTTTGCCCCCTTTTAGTTTACTCTGTAACCTTCAAGTTGGAGATAATTGGAGAATGCAAATCTGTTTCTGTGAAGTGAAATCTTCAGCTGTTTTCTTAAAGAATTGCAGATGAAGTTTATAAAGAAGACCTATCTACTATTATTCCTTTTTAAAAAAATTAAAATCGTTTGCCCTGCAAGAGGCTTGGTTTTAGAGCAACATTTCAGTGTTGTCTTCAGAAAGTGAAATTATTTCAAGGGCAGATTTGTCAAATAAATTATTTGTATGCCCGTTATCACTAACTTATGTTTCTTTGCTTGTAGACTGTAAACAGGCTTAGAGTCTTCCTTAGGATACTCTTAACCAGGTCTTCTTATAGCCTCTAAAAGAAAGATCACATCAGTCCCTTAGAATTATTTAGATGTAATTCAGAATTACGCTGTTGTGGAGTCCTAAGGTTTTGTTTTGTTTTTCATTTAGTTTAAGGTTTTAATTGAGATTTAATATTTGATGTTTATTAGACTAGTAATCAGACATATTTCTTGTAGTGGAACTACCTGTCACACTGGATACCTGTCACACTGGATATTGGGATCCTATAAGTCTTGAGATAGAATATTTCATAGATTTTGTTTTTAGCTCTCCACTCTTTTTTACAGACGTATGCAGCTTATTTTCCATCTGAAAAAGCTAAATTAAATATTCCTCTTTGCATAATGTTTTTATTGTCATAGTGATCCCTGATGCTATATTTTGTATATCATTAGCTGATCTGAATCCAAGCGATGAGGATTTGGAGGAAACAGTAAATAGATATATACTTTACAGCAATAGACCAGACCCTTGGCAGGCGAACTTATTCTTAGAATAACTACAGACTGAATTCATAAACTTTTGCTTGACTTAATGAGCATTTTTGACCTTGAGTTGATTTCTTCTGGACCCTGTTTTCTAGACTCAGCCCTGCTGTGCCTTTCTTTCCTAGTCTCTTCTTAATTAAATAGCCTGTATGGCTTGTGTTGGCAAATAGCTACGTGGTAAAAGATAAAATAGGACTATTTTATTTTATTTTTGAAGAACAGCTTTAAATTTGTGAAAATTAAGAAAATAGTAGTTTCTATATATCCTCACACAGTTTGCCCTATTATTAATATGTTAGTATAGTACGTTTGCTACAATTAATGAACCAATATTGATACTTTTTTGTTAATTTTAATAACAACTAAAGTCCACAGTTTATTTGAGTTCCTTGGCTTTTTCCTAATATTCTTTTCCTGTTTCAGTGTCCCATCCAGGATATGGCATCAGATTTAATTGTTATGTCTCCTTAGGTGCCTTTTGACTATGACAGTTTCTCAGACTTTCCTTGTTTTTGATGACCTTGACCATTTGGGGAGTATTAGGCATATTTGTAGGAGATCCCCCTGTTGGAATTCATTTGATGTTTTTCTCCTTATGAGATTGGGGTTATGGGATCTGGGGAGGAAGATCACAGGGGTCAATTTTTATCATATTCCTTAAATTTTTACATATTATTTCAAGGGTACATACTATCAACATGATTTATCACTATTGCTGTTAACTTTGGTCACCTGGCTGAGGGGCTGAAGGAGTGTTATCTCCACTCTCCTTCCAATGCATACTGTGTAAGGAATTCCCAGATCACACTTAAGGAGCAGGGAGTTACACTCCACATCCTTGAGGGCAGACTATGTAAATTATTTGAAATTCTACTGCATGGGAATTCATCTCTTCTCTCCCATTTATTGATGGGTTCATTCATTTATTTATGTCATTATGGCCGTAAATGCCTACATTTATTTTATGTTTATAATCTAATACTAACTTATTTTGTTGCTCAAATTGTTCAGTTTTGGACATTGGGAGCTCTCAGTTGGTTCTCGTACCACTGTTACAAACCCCCATCATTATGGTGTGGGTTTTTTTTTTTTTTCCCCATCAAATAGGACATTTTCTCTTTTCATTGGCACAGGTACCTCTTGACTTTTTTTTTTTTTTTTTAGGTGAAGGAGGCTAGAAACACACCTCTCATAGAATACAGTAATTGTTTAATAATTATTGCTTTTCACCTCTAGGTGTCCTCATATCATAAGTGGGAAAACCCTCAAAGATTGGAAAACT